GCGAAGGATCACCTGCTGCTTCACCAGCAGCAGCAGCAGTTCTTGCTGCTGCTGCTGCTGCAGCTGCTGCTACCCCAGAAGGCCCAGCCACCCCTGCAGCAGCAGAAGCAGCAAAGCAAGAACCTGGTGACGCAGCTGCAGAAGAGCTTAACGCCGACGCTTCCCCACAGAGCCAAGCCTCAGACAGGACAGCTGAGCAACTTAGTCTACAGCAGGAGGAGCAGCAGCAGCAGCAGGAACCCAACAAGCAGCAGCAAGAGCAACAGCAAGACGAACCTGAACCTCACCAACTACTGGAAGCTGCAGAGCAGCAGCAACAGCAACAGCAGCAACAACAGCAACAACAGCAACAACACCAGCAACAGCACGCGGAGGATACTGAAGTTGCCCCCGAAATATTGCTGGATCACTTGCTGCAGCAGCAGCTGCTGCAGCAAATGCAGCAGAGGCAGCTGGAGTCGCAGCAACTTAAAATAGCTCAACTTCAGGCGGAGCACGAGCAATTGAAGCAAGAACACAGACAGGCAACAGCTAGGCTAATTTTACAGGAACAGCAGCAGCAACAGCAGCAGCTGCTGCTACTGCAGAATGAGAACGACGAACAGCAGCAGCAGCAGCAAGAGCAGCAGAAGCAGGAACACGAGCAGCGCGAAGAACAAGAGCCGCAGCAGGAGCAGCAGGAAGAATCACAGCTGGAGCAGCAGCAGAAACTGCTTCCTGCCGCTGCAGTGTCCCCTTTCACCTCCTTCACAGCAGCAGGAGCAGCAGCACCAACAACGCTAGAAGCAACAGAGACACAAGCAGCAGAGGCAGCAGAGCATCAGGAGCAGCAGCAGCATCAACAGCAACAGCAGCAAGAGCAGGAGCAGGAGCAGCAGGAAGACCAGGACCACCAGGAGCAGCAGATAACGGCGGAAATTTTCACAGAAGAGAGTGTGGGGGATATTAGCAAAGCAGCAGCTGCAGCAGAGCAGTTGTACAGGCAGCAGCAGCTTCACCAGCAGCTGCTGGAAGAGCACCGCGCGCTGCAGCAGCAGCGGCAGCATCTGGAAGCATGCATCCACGACATGAAAAGTAAGTCTCCCCAGGTGTCTCCCTCCAGCTGCCAACAGCAGCAGCAGCAAAAGCAGCAGGGGAAGCAGGACCAGCAGCAGCAGCAGCAGCAGCAGCAACTTCCAGCGCAGGGTGCCCACCTAGTGCCCGTGCAGCGCGGTCGCAGGACAGGCAGCAGTGGCGGCACTTGCAACAGCAACTGCAGCAGCAATTGCAGCAGCTGCTGCAGCAGCAGCTGCAGCTGCAGCAAGCCTCTGCCGGCTACTGTGGAGGGAGCGCCTCTGTCAGCTGCCTGGGACAGCCACAGCCAGCAGCAGGAAGAGCTGCAGCACTACGGCAGCAGCACAAACTTATTTGCTTCCCCGAGTTATGTTGCTCGAAGGTCACATGGTTCCCAGCCTCTTTTGCACCAGCAGCAGCAGCAGCAGCAGCAGCAGCAGCAGCAGCTACAGCAGCAGCTGTTGCATCTAAGAGAGCAGTCAGGAGAGACATTCTCCACGTGCACCAGCACGAAGTCAAGCACCTGCAGCAGCAACAATGTCCCTGACATGACGGCAGACACGAATTCAATGTTGCAGCAGCAGCAGCAGCAACGGACGCTGCAGCAGCCGCAGCTCTGGTCGGCTCTGCACAACACAGCAGCAGCAGCAGCAGCAGCCGCTACATCCGGTACTGCATGGGGAGAATACCCGCCACACCAGCAGCAACAAATGTGTGCTCCGCAGCAGCAGCAGCGCTTCAGCAGCAACGATTCTATTTTGGGGTGCTCCACTCCCTACGCGCATCAGTCCCAACATGAGCAGCAGCAGCAGCAGCAGCAACGCCACCAGCAAATGCAGCAGCAGCAACAACACCAACAGCAACTGCAGCAAAGTCTGCAGTTGAGAAACTACCCCATAGGCACTGCCTTGAGGCACCCCCGGGATTTACACCAGCAACAGCAGCGGCTGCTGAGCGTGCAGCAAAAGTGGCAGCAGCAGCAGCAGCAGCAGCAGCAGCACGACGAAGTCTGTTGGCTGTCTGCGTCTCCCCGCCTACCCCCTCTTTCCCGCGGCCGCCAGTGGCCGGGGCCCCTCCCAGTACCCCACGGTGGGGCCCCTCAGGGGGCCCCTCACATGGGGGGCCCCCCTGGAGGCCCCCTAAGGGGGCCCCCTGGGGCCCCCCAGGTGCAGCGCAGCACGAACTGGCAGGCCCCCATAGGGCACAGCTGTGAGAGCGCGCCGCCCACAGCGTCGGGGCCCCCAGCAGCAGCAGCAGCAGCAGCAGCAGCAGCAACAGGCTGGCTTTTGGCGGACGCAGGGCCGCAGCTGGGGGCCCTTTCTAGCGGAGCAGCGGAGAGCAGCAAGACACATTTTGCTACCTGTAGTGCTGCTGCTGCTTTTGCCGACAGCAGGGGGAGGCCCCCAGGGAGGGCCCCCATGCTGAGTGCGCCTGCGCAGGCCTACGGGGTTCACCAGGGGGGCCCCTACTACTACGCAGCCACCGAGCACCGCCAGCAGCAGCAGCAGCAGCAGCAACAACACCAACAGCAGCAGCAGCAGCAGCAGCAGCGGCTGCTCATGATGCACCGGTGGGGCAATGCGCAGCGGCGCAGCACGTCGCTCACTTCCCCTCTAGTGAACAGGGAAGAGGAGGAAACACCAACTGCAGCAGCAGCAGCAGCAGCAACGGTGTTTCATGACACAGGAAGGGGGCCCAGTCCCTTGCTGCCGCGACACTTGCTGAGCCCGCTGCCCCTGTGCAGCAGCAGCAGCAACCCAGCAGCAGCAGCAAGGCCTTCGCAGCCCCGAGTATGGCGCAGCGAAAGCCTGTGCAGCTTTAGAGACAAATCTTTCCCACTCACCCCACACCCTGCAGCAGCAGCAACTGCTGCTTCCCTTCCGCAGGACATTAGCTACCGCAGCGTTGGCAGGTATGCACACTGCTGAGGAGCCCCGTGGCCCAGAGCAGCAGCAGCAGCCGCAGCAGCAGCAGCAGCAGCAGCAGCTGCGGCACCAGCAGCCGCAGCAGCAGCAGCCCCAGCAGCAGCAGCCCCAGCAGCAGCTTTTCACAGGTATAGGACCCTTAGCCACTGCAAGGCAAGCAAAAGCGGCAGCAGCAGAAGCAGCAGCAGCAGCATCAAGTGCTGTAGCAGCGTACGCCCCTTTTGCAGGCCCACTGGTGCTGCGCTGCTCCTGCAGCTCGAGCTGCTGCTGCAGCAGCAGCAGCAGCCCCTACTGAAGCAGCAGTTGCTGCTGCATGCCTCCCGAAAAAATTTAGTGCACTGCATGCGGCAGCCTTTGCCTGCAGTTGCCATTCGACCTTAATATGCGTTGATGTGAAGGCTGGCTTATATGCTGCCGCGCCGGCAGCCACGCGTGCTGCTGCTGCTGCTGCTGCTGCTGCGTGCTGCTGCTGCTGCTGCCGCTGCGTGCTGCTGCTACGTAGCTTTGGGCGCACTAGACACTAAGTAGGGGCAGCAGACTAGGGGAGTTCGTATGCGCATCAGCAGGAAGCAAAACGGTGCAGCAGCACCATTGCTGCATGCAGCTTTGCATGCGGCTTTGCATGCAGCTCGGCATGCAGCCCCATCGTTGCATCCAGTTTCAGTAGCTTTGCATGCGTTTGTAGGCAAAGCTGCATGCACGTGCGCTCAGGTGTATGTACAGGCAAGAGAGTGTCCTTTTGCGTTTTTTCGACTTAAAAAGATTTTAATCTGTTCAATTAGAATAGACTTTTGAGCAGTTTAGTGCAGCAGCAGTGCAGCAGCAGCAAAAGGTATCTTTTTAATGCAGCCCCAAATGCATGCATGCAGTGCAGAGAAAGGCCTAGTGCCCACAGGCCTTCCGGGTGTACGTACACCCCAACAAACGAACTTCTGCAGCAGTTCTCAGGCACTCCGGAAGAAAGGAGAATGCATTAACAATGCAGCAAAAACAACTCTTTTGCTGCAGCAGCAGCAAAGCAGAAGCAGCAATAGCTTAGCAGCAGCGAAGACGTTATGCTGTAAGGGACTCTTCTCTTTCCCCAGGGCCCCTCTGGGGCCCCCGGGGGCCCCCTGGAGTCTCCCCCGGGGGCCCCCTGGGGGGCCCCCCGGAGCCATCTGGGGGACCCCTGAGGCAGTTCCTACAGCCTTTGGGTTTTAGGGGGCCCCCAGAGGGGCCGGAATTGGATCTGCCAGGGTGAAGCCTGCTGCTGCTGCAGCTGCTGCGCTGCGTGCTGCAGCTGGGCCTTACTTGTGCTGTTGCTGCTGTGCGCGTGTTGCTGTTTCTTTCGCTGCTGCTGCTGCTGCTGCTGCTGCTGCTGCTGCTGCTGCTGCTGCTGCCTGTCCATCGGCTGGAAGAAGACTCACGGTGATCACATTGAGTATTTCTGTTAAAATTTTAAAAACATTTTAAGTTTATTAATGCAATTTCTCAGAATAATTCGGGGACATTGGGGGGCCCCAGCCATGCTGGGGGCCCCAGGGTCCAGGGGGGCCCCTCGGCGCTGGGGCCCCCAGGAGTTCTTGTTGCGCATGCAGCAGCAAGGGCCTTTTTAAATAATTAAATATTCAGCAGAAGAAAGAAATACTAAATTTTGTTTTAAATAATGTATTTGAATTGATGGAGCCAGTGCTGCGGGCCAACAGCAGCAACTGAGGCAGCAACAGCAGCGGCAGCTGGGACAGCAGCAGCAGCAGCGGCTGCTGCAGCAGCAACTGCAGCAACTGGCGAACTCCTCATCAGGGCCCCCCAGCAGCAGCAGGAGAGACTGCTGCGTCTTCTGTTCTCTTAGGCCGAGGGGGCCCCCACTGTCTGCCTCAGGTCTGTCAAGATCCCGACTCCTGCTGCTGCTGCTGCTGTTGCTGCTGCGGCTCTCGGGGCCAGTTTGAGGAGCAGCAGCAGCAGCAACGGGCCAGCAGATGCGCCCTTCTGGGGCTTCGAGAGCCGCAAGGGGACGCTGTTCTTCACGTTGCTGCTGGGGCCATGGAAGGCGACGCAGCAGCAGCAGCAGCAGCTAGTGCTGCTGCTGCTGCCCCTGCTTGCGAGAGTGTGGGAGCAGCAGAAGCAGATGTGCACTTGAGCACCCCCCAGGAGGGCCAGCTAGCTGCTCTTGCTGCGAAGTACCGCGTGCCTATCGAGCTGCTGCAGGACCTGCAGCAGCAGCTGCAGCAGCAGCAGCAGCAGCAGCAGCAGAAGCCGCCTCCGCAGCAGGACGTGTCCCCCGCGTCTGGCGTGAGCGTGCGCTCCTCGCCGGACTCCGGCGGCGCCCCCGCTGCAGCGGCAGCAGCAGCAGCAGCAGCAGCGCGGGGTGTGGGGCCCGTGGTTGCTGCTGCTTACACGCGACTGTACGTACACTTCGTGTCTTGGGTCTTGGGCCTCTGGGACCCCCAGATGCAGCAGGAGCTGCTGGATGCAGCTTTTGCTGTTTTGATGAAGATCTACCAGCGCACTTTGCTCATCAACCCCACTGACGGTCAGCCTCCCGCTGCTGCTGCTGCTGCTGCTGCTGCGGCTGCTGTTGCAGCGGCTGCTGCTGCTGACTGTGCCGCTGCGTTTGGGGCTGCTGTTGCGTCTGTGGGTGCGCTGCTGTCAATGCTGTGCTTCCGATGGCTGTTGCTGCTGCTGAAGCTGCTGCAGCTGCTGCTGGAGCTGCTGCTGCTGCTGCTGCGGGTCTTGGTGGTGCTGTTGCTGCTGCTGGCGTTGTTCTTGCTGCTCCTGCAGCCGCCGCAGTAGCCACTAGCTGCAGTCGTGCGCAGGTGGTTCCTTAGCCACTCAGTTGCTGCTGCACTGGGTGCTGCTGCTGCTGAACATGCTGCTGCTGCTGCTGTTATTCAAAAATGTCTTGCTTCTGCTGCTGTTGCTGTCAAAGGATTGTGCGGTTGTTGCTGCTGCTGCTGTTGCTGCTGCAGCGCGTGAGCTGCTGCGGGTCTACGGGCCGCAACATGCAGCCCGGCACGCGGCGCTGCTGCAGCAGCTGCAGCAACTGCAGCCGCAGCACCCGCAGCAGCTGCAGCAGGTTGCTTATTTTCACGGTGAAGAGAAGCATGCACTTTATTTGTCCGAGTAAGTTTATTTATCTTTCCCTTTTTCGTTTTTGCTTCGCCCCGCAGTTGCTGTTGCTGCTGCTGCTGCACGCGCAGCAGCAGCAGCGGCAGCAGCAGCGGCACCGTGCTGTCAGTGCCAGCAGCAACAGCAGCATATGCAGCGCAGTAGGCCTGATCTGTATACGCTGCAGCAGCGGCAGCAGCTGCCGCAGCTGCTGCAGCACCAGGGAAAACAAAAGCCACAACAACAACAACAGCAGCAGCAGCAGCAGCAGGTGCATGTGTGCGTCTCAGGCGGTCCTTTCTAATGCTGCGCTGCTGGTTGTCGGAGACAAGAAGTTTGCCATTGGAGTCTTTGCTGCAGTCCTCAGTGCGGCTGCTGCATGCACCTGCTGGGGCCCCACACCTGCGGGGGCTTGACTACCCGCAGCAGCAGCAGCAGCAGCAGCAGCAGCAGCAGCAGCAGCAGCAGCGGCTCGTCTTCTGGGGGCTGCCCAGGCAACTCTACAGAGACGACGTGCTGCTGACGCTCCCCAATGGAGAAAAAATGAAGGTTAATTCATTTTCTTTTTTATTTACTTTTATTTTTTTTTATTTCTTTATTTTTTAGTCTTTTTTGCTTCTTTTTGCCTCCTTTTATTTCTTATTATTTCTTTACCCCTTTTTATTTTTATTTCTTTCCTTTCTTTCTTTTTATTTTTTAATTTCTTCTTTTTTGCTGCTGCAGCTTTTGCTGCAGCAGCTGCAGCTGTCTTTGGTGGAATTTTAGAATATTGGATTTCTTGAATAATTTTTAAAAACAAGTTCTTTGACAAAGACCATTAAAGATAAATAAATGATTACTTTAACGAATTTAAATGAATTATTTGAAATAAATGATTTAAAATGAATTATTAACTCGAGCTTGCAATTTGCTGCTGCAGCGAGTTCGAGTTCTGGGCCAAGAAGCTCTAAGGGAATCGGACTTAGTCGAAAATCGCTGTTTGCTGCCTCTCCCAGAAGCAACAACGGAGGCCTTTTTGCTGCTGCGCAAGCAGCTCAAGACGCAGGCTGAAAACAGGGTCTGCTGCTGCTGCTGCTGCTGCTGCTTCTGTTGCGGTGGCTGTTGCTGCTGCTGGTGCTGCTGCTGCTTTTGCTGCAGTGGCTGTTGTTTCTGGCTGCTGTTGGTGCTGGCTGCTGTTGCTGTTGTTGCCTTCGTTGTTGCCTGTGCTCGCTGTTGCTGCTTTTGCTGCTCGCTGCTCGTGCTGCTGCTGCTTTTGTTGCTGGCTGGTGTTGCTGCTGTCGCTGGCTGCCCTTGCTGCTGTTGTTGCTGGCTGCTCTTGCTGCTGTCACCGTTGTTGCTGCCTGCGCTTGCTGCTGCTGCTCTTGCTGCTGGCTGCCCTTGCTGCTGTTGCTGTCATTCGTGGCTGCTATTGCTGCTGTCGCCGTTGTTGCGGCAGGTTTTGCTGCTGCTATTCTTGCTCTTGTTGCTCATGCCGTTGCTGCCACTACTGCGGCTGCTGCTGCTGTTGCTGCTGCTGCTGTTGCTGCTGTTTATCCATCCCGGCTTCTCTTGCTGCGCGCCCTTGCTGCTGCTGGGGCCGTTGCTTCGGGCTACTGCAGCCCCCGATGATGCGGCGGAGGCCTCTTCTGCTCGATGCACTTGCTGCTGCTGCTGCTGCTGCAGGCCCAGCTGAGCCCTAGCCAGCTGCCGTCAGTTTGCTGCTACAGCTTCATGAACACTCAAATAGAAGCCAGCAGCATTGCCCTTGGGCAGCAGCGGCCCCGCTTTGCTGCGCTGGGGGGTGTGGGGCAAGTGCTTCTGTGGGACCTTGCGCAGCAGCCAGTCCGTTGCTGCTGCTGCTGCTGCTGCTGCTTGCGCTGCTGCTGCTTGCGCTGCTGCTGAGGCAGGCGATAAGGCTGCTGCTGGGGAGCATTGTGGTGAGCTGGCGCTGCTGTCGCTGCAGCTGGCAAGTGCACGCTGAAAAGCTGCTGCTGCTGCTTCTGGTTTGCTGCAGCGAGCGGAGGCGAAGGCGTTAGAGCTGCTAAAGAAGAGCAGCAGCAACATCAGCAGCAGCAGCGACATGGACGACGTAGCAGGCCCTGCTGCTGGCGGGCACGAGTCGATGGAAGAGGACGGGGGAGGGGGGAAGCCGCAGCGCCGCCCCCCCAGCAGCAATACGAGCAGCAGCAACAGCAGCAGCAGCAGCAGCAGCAGCTGCTGCTGCTACAAGCTGGTGGGCCACGAGGGAAGGGTCTTGGCCCTCACTTTTGCTGAAGCTGAAGACCGCTGCCTTTTGACTGGGGGCAGCGACGCAGTAATTCGTTTGTGGCCCACTCCTTATTCTCAGGAGCTGCAGCAGCTGCAGCAGCAGCAGCAGCAGCAACAAGGCGCTGCAGCCTCAGACAGCGACGAGGGCGAAGACGATGACCCCGATGCAACCCGCAAGAAGAGGCAGCAGCAGCAGCAGCAGCAGCAGCAAATGCTGCCCCTCTGCCAATACAGAGGGGCCACTGCACCCATCTGGAGCCTAGCAGCAAGTCCCCTGGGGTGAGGCGATTTCGCGCTGCTGCTGCTGCTGCAGGTGCTGCTGCTGCTGCAGGGGTGCTGCTGCAGGGGTGCTGCTTCTCCTGCTGCAGCTGCTTGTGCAACAGTGGAAGCAGCAGCAGGAGCAGCAACAGGGGCAGCAGTACCGACATCGGTTGCTGCTGCCTCCGCTGTTGCTTCTGCTGACCCCACATGTGCTGCTGCTGAGGCTGCCACGGCTTTGTATGGGCCTGCTGCTGCTGCTGCTGCTGCTCCCGGAGCGACCGCGACTGCTCGCGCGTATCTGCCGCTCTCTCTCCCACCGCCCCCCCACCGCTGCTGCTGCTGCTGCTGCTGCAGGCACTACTTTGCTTCTGGGGGCGGGGACAATGTGGCGCGGCTCTGGTGCACTTCTCGATCTTTCCCGCTGCGGCTGCTGCAGCACCCCGGAGGTGCCACAGATGTGCCCAAGGTGTACATACACCCCAATTCCTCGTTGCTGCTGACGGGGGCTTCTGACGGAGTTGTGCGGCTTTTCGATTTGCGAGCAGCAGATGCTGTGAGGAGCTGGACGCCGCCGAGGCCTGCTGCTGCTGCTGCTGCTGCTGCTGCGGGGGACGGCGGGCTCGGCAGCGCAGCAGCAGCAACAGCTGCTGCTGCTGCAGCAAGAAACGGCCCAGACGCCGCGCTGCGGTGGCCGCTAGACCCGAGGTGGCTTAGTGCTGCTGGGAGGGCAGCACTCGGCAGCAGCAGCAGCAGCTGCTGCAGCAGCAGCAGCAAGGAGGTGACAGCGCTCACCGCGTCGCCCAACGGAAGGCTTGTTGCAGCCGCAGGTCTGGCACATAGGGTTAAGGGTTTGGTCTAGGGTTTAGGGTTTGGCCTAGGGTTTGGGATACCGTTTATCTAATTGCAAGCATGTCGCAGAGACAACTCACTCAGAAACCCGCAAGTCGTTAAGGTTCTTAGGGTTTGTAGGGTTTAGGGTTTAGGGTTTAGTGTTTAGGGATTAGGGTTTAGGGTTTAGGGTTTAGGGTTTGGCTGCTGCTGCAGATGAGACAGGCAACGTGTGCGTTTGGGACATCCCTTCTGGCAATCTTTTATCGGTGGGGTCGGCGTCTCTTCCTGCTGCTCATGCTGCTGCTGCTGCTGCCTTTGCTGCTGAGGGCCGCTGCAGCGCAGCAGCAGCAGCAGCAGCGGCAGCAACCTACGCCAAGTCCCTCTCCTTTTGCTACAACTCCTCCCTCCTTGCCGGAGCCACAGGAGACGGGCGCGTGCTCCTCTGGGACACAACAGCAGGTGAGCAGCAGCAGCAGCAGCAGCAGCAGCAGCGCTCGTGACACCAGTGCTTGCAGGAGCAGCAGAAGCAGCAGCAGCAGTAGCAGTAGTAGTAAATCCACCCCTCTCGACAGCAACGGTCACAGCAGCGGCAGCAGCAGCAGCAACATCAGCAGCACCGCCCGTGAGACCAGTGCTCCCAGCATTAGCAGCAGCAGCAGCAGCAGCGGGACCATGCGTGTTTGGGTGTTTGCTGCAGCATCTCGAGGGGGGGGGGCCCGCCGCGGGGGCGAAAGCCCCGAGGGGCCCCCCACAGGGTGTGGGGCGGGGAACCCCCGTGTGGGGCCCGGGGGCCCCTCGCAGCTGCTGCTGCTGCAGTGTCTGTACGGGCGCTCTGTGGCATTTCGCGCATGCAACTTCACCCCTTCGAATTTGCTGCTAGTTGGGGGCCTTTCTACTCTTGACAAATAAATTTGAGATTATTTGGTTTATTTGATCATTCAAAACTTTTTATTTCCGTTTTAATTCGACTCAGTCCGCCTTTTGCGCTTCACAGCAGCGCAGCAGCAGCAAATATAAAAGTCTAAAAGGAAGAAATCCGCGGACGAAATGGAATTCTAATTGGAAATAATTGAACAAAACGGCAGAAAAGTAAATTGAATTCAAAAATAAACGAACAGCATTAAATACATGCAGAAATGTCAATTATAAACCGTTCTGCAGTTTTGGAGGTAAAAAGACGAAAATTCAAATTTAGATTTGACACACAAAGAGGTGTACAGACACTCCGAGGTGTACAGACACCTGAAAATTTAGTGGGTCAAAGAAGACAAAATAAATTTTTTCATTTTTCCGACAATTAGACAAAAAAATAATTCAAAGAAAGGAGGAAATTAGACAAAAAGGATAATTAAACAAAAGAAATCAGAAATAAAAGAAATTAGAAAAAAAAGTAATTAAAGAGGAAGAAAATTAGAAAAGAAAAATAATTAGACAAAAAAGATGTAATTGGACAAAAAGGGGCAAATAAATATAATTTAAATGTGGGTACAAATATGAATAAAGATGTAAAAATAAGCAAAGATAAATATAAATAAATAAATATAAAAAAAGATTTAAGTAAGGATGCAATTATAAAGATAAATAAAGATGTAACTTTATTATTTATTTCTGCTTTTAGATAAATATCTTTCTACAGATATGGCTGCATTTATTCACATTTGAAAATAAAAAACAAAAAGATTTAATTGAAATATTACGTATTTTTCTTTTTGAAGAAAGAAGATTATCTTAAAAAGTAAAAAAACAAAAAGATATTTGCTGCAGCATGCAGAGGCTGCTGCGGTGTATCTGCAGCAGCGGGAAAAGGGCACTCACGCTGCTCAGCAAGCAAACAGGCTTGCTGCTGCTGCTGCTGCTGTTGCTGCTGCTGTTGCTGTTGCTGCTGCTGCTGCTGCTACTGCCGCTACTGGCGTCGGCTTTGATGGAGCAGCTACAGCTCATCTCTGAGTTGGCGCTGCAGTGCTGCTTCTGCTTGCTCAGTTGCTGCTGCTGCTGCAGCGTAGGCCGCGTCAGCAGCAGCAGCAGCTGCTGCGCAGTCCGCAGCAGCAAGCTGACTGGGGCTCACTCCTTCCAGCCGCAGCTGCAGCAGCACTGCAGCAAACGGGCCAACGGGATTGTCTGTACAGAGAAAGCACGCACTTGCTGCTGCTGCTGCTGCTGCTGTTCATTTCATCTATGCAGCACGCACCAGCAGCATAAGCACACGAACAGCAGCAGCAGCAGCAACAGCAACGGGGACGGCAGGCGCAGCTTCATCATAACCGTAGCCAGAAACAGCGGCAGCAACAGCAGCAGCAACAGCAACAGCAGCAGCAGCAGCAGAAGCAGCAGCAGCAGCATCACCAAATCCATTGAAGCCGTTGGGCCCATAAGCAAGTTTAGGAGACAGAAAAAGCTGCAGAGACTCAAAAGGCTTCATTAAAGAAACTGCTTCGCGCCAGCCCAGAGGCAGCAGGTAAAACATAGAACGCCAGAAACGGCCCTGCAGCAGCAGCAGCAGCAGCAGCAGCAGCGGGATAGGAGTGGTAGTGGTACGGATGGTGGCAGCAATATGGACAGGCGTGATGGACCAGGAAGGCCAGCAGCAGCAGCAAAGGGACCAGCAGCAGCAACAAAAAACACAGCAGCAGCAGCAGGAGCTACTGCTGCTGCTGCTGCAGCGGGACGCGGAGCCGTAGCAGTGGCAGCAGCAAAGCCCTCACGCTAGCTGCAGCGGCTTCTGCTGCTTCTGTTGCTGCAGCAGCAGCAGCAACTGCTGCTGCAACAACAGTAGCAAGCACACGCGCTCCAGCAGCATCAGCAGCAACGGCAAGATCGAAGCCAGCAGCAGCAGCAGCAGCAACACAGAGATGCACTAGTCAAGAAACAGAAAGAGAAAAAGAGAACGAAAGAAAGAAGCAAAAAGGAAGAAAGAAAGAATAAAAGATTAAAAGAATAAAAGAAAAAGCAAAAAGAATACAAGAAAAAGACAAAAAAGGATTTCAATTCTTACAGACTTTTGAGTGCTGAATAAAAGAATTCCATTTGTTAACATCGCCTCCAAAGAAAAAGCAAAAGTGTCGCAAACAGAGTCCCTGAGGGTCACCCACGCATCTGCTGCTGCTGCTGCTGCTGCTGCTGCTGTTGCCGTCCACTGGCAGCGGTGTTTTGGGCTGCAGGTCTTGCCGCTGCAGCAGTGCCTGTACAGCAGCAGCAGCTGCTGCTGCTGCTGCATGTGCACGGGCCACCCGAGGACTACAGCAGCAGCAGCTGCTGCTGCAACAGCAGTGCTAAGGCCTCAACAGCAGCTGCAGCAGCAGCACTACTAGGGACTCAGCAGCAGCTGCAGCAGCAGCACAAGGGCGTCAGCAAGAACAGCATCATCATCCACCATCATTATCATCATCATCAGCAGCAGCAGGAGCAGCAGCAACTACAGTAACAGCAGCAGCAGCAGCAGCGGCAGCAGCAGCAACAGCAATGTGGCACCTTGGGAAAGGGTCTTCTGCGTGCAGCTCTGGCCTTCTGTGGAGCCAGCGCAGCTGCAGGCCCGACTGGAGTGTCTGTACACCTGGATTGAATTTGTTTTTTTCCAAAAACAAAAGAGATAATTTCAAATTGTGTTTTTCTTGAGAAAGCCTTAAAATGGGAGAATCTGCTTCTCCCCACAGAGCGGAGCAGGGCGAGGGCTGGCACAGTGCTGCTGCTGCTGCTGCTGCTGCTGCAGCTGCAGCTTCGTCGTCGGCTGCTGCTGCTGCTGCTGCGCTGCTGTCTTCGCTCGCAGCAGCAGCGGCTGCTGCTGCAGCAGGAGCAGCAGCAGCTGCTGCTGCTGCTGCGTCCGCTGACTCAGGCAGCTGCTGCTGCTGGTAAAATAGACTCATAATTAACTCTTCTTTCTCTTTAAATGTGTCGTGACAAGCTGTTCTTAAGGTTGCTTCGTGCAGCTCCTCTGTCTGCTCTGCAACAGCAGCAGCAGCAACAGCAGCAGCAATAGCAGTGGCAGCAGCAACTTCGGGTGAAAGGGACTTAGCCCGGCAGCAGCAGCGACAGCAACAGCGATATCTGAGTACACTGTGCGAAGCAGCAGCTGCAGCACTAGCAAAGATGGATAGCAACAGCAGCCATCTACACAGCAGCAGCAGCAGCAGCAGTAGCAGCGGCAGCAGTAGCAGCAGCAGCAGCACCAAAAGCAACAGGGCAATCCGGTGAGCAAAGCTTCTCTAAACTGCTTTTGAAGCAGCAAATAAAAAGACAAAGAAAAGCAGAAGACATCTGAGTGGGCTGGAGGCAGCAACGAGGCAAGAAAGGCGACGAGGGCGCAACCCGAGGGTTTAGGGTTTAGGGTTTAGGGTTTACGGGCGTAGTAGCGCATGAGGCCTCCCTCACAAATGAGGTGCCTCTGTCTCTTCAGCCACCCCTCAGGTGTCTCTTTTTCTTTTGCTGCCAAATGGACAAAAGCAGCATCTCCTTGGGGGCCCCCCAGCAGGTAAGGAAGGGTCAGCGAGCACACGCTGCTGCTGCTGCTGCTGCTGCTGCTGCTGCTGCTGCTGCTGCAGAGCAGCAGCTCGGCCACGGCCTGACAGGCTTCACACAGCGCACACCGACGGCCCCCCCACTCCCACTCAAAGGGTTCTTCATCATCTTGGAGGGGGGCCCCCAAAGTTCCCACCAGAAGGCCTTCTTGGGGGCCCCCCAGGGGGCCCCCAGGGGGCCCTCCAGGGGGGCCCCCCTGGGGGTCCCCGGGAGGGCCCCAGCCCTGCAGGACCCCGAGAAGGCAGCCGACGGGGCCCCAAAGCGGGGCCCTCAGGAGGCCCCCTGGGAGGGCCCCTAGGGGGCCCCCCAGAGGAGTGCAGCGGCAGAGCAGCAGCAGCAGCAGCAGCAGCAGCAGTTTGGGGGCCCCCATCCCTGTCTGTTTTAAGGGCGCAACTCTCCCCACCAAGCCCGTAGGCGCTACGGCCAAAAGCCCAAACCCTAAACCCTAAACCCTAAACCCTAAACCCTGAAACTAATGCGTTGAGTCTGCTCCCGGGGTTCTGGAAGGAGTTTCTGCTGAAACAACTGCACTGAGGCTGCGCTGGGGTGTACAGACACCTAATTGAGGTGTACATGCAGCTCTGCCTCTAGCGTTCGGGTGTATAGCCACATGCGTCGGTGGCACCAAGTGCTGCTGCGCTGCAGCGGGTCCTTCCTAATAGCTGCCAGGGTCTGCTAAGTTTTTAAAAAGAAATAAAAGTAATTTAAATTTAAATTTAAATAGTTTTTGGCGGTGAGCACCGCAGCAGACGGGCTGCCGACAGACAGACGGCGCAGGCTGCTGCTGTCGATTCAGCAGCAGCAGCAGCAGCAGCAGCAGCAGCAGCAGCAGCAGGAACCGCAGCAGCAACCGCAGCCAGGCCGTTTCCGCAGCACTAATACAATATGTCGTTAAATGCAAATTAATAAAACTAACAGACAAGCAAATCAAGGAATAACTGCAGAGCTTGGGGGCCCTAAAGCGCTTGGCGTCGCTGCAGCCCAGGTCCCCCTCCTAGGGTTTAGGGTTTACAAGCTGCCCATTTTGCTGCATGCAGCTTCCGGCGCCAATTCTTTGCCTTTTATATTGCTGCCTGTAAACCTGGGGGCCCCCAAACCCTCCTTCAGCAGCAACACAAAAGCTGGGGGCCCCCAGGGGCCCCTGTGTGCCTCCTGCTGACGCCAGTGGGGGCCCCTGGCTCCCTCCGGCCTCTTACCTTGCCTCCCTGCAGCAGTGCTGCCTCCCGCGCGAATCAAAGCAGCAGCAGTAACAGCAGCAGCAGCAACAGCAGCAGCAGCAGCAGCAGCAGCGGAATGGGGAAGTCGCGGGCTGGCGGCTCCAACGCGCGTCGAGGCCCCGCAGGGTCTTCTGCTGCTTCTGGGGAGCTTCCTCAGGAAAGTCCCCAGAGGGGCCCCCCGGGGGCCCCCCCTGGGGCCCCCCTGGGGCCGCCCCCGGGGGCCCCCCCGAGGTCCCCCACTGGGGCCCCCGCAGGGGCCCCCCCCGCAGCGGGTCCCCCCACTGGGGGCCCCCCAGAGGGTCTTGAGGGGGGGGCCCCCCTCAAGTGCGAGGCCCCTTCTTTGCCCTCTCCTGGACCCTCTTTTGAGGCCCTTAGCCCTGGAGAGTCCTCAGAGGCAGCAGGGGGGGCCCCCCAGTCTGCAGCACTGTACCCTGGGGCCTCCCCCCAACCCCCTGCTTCGGGGGCCCCTTCCCTCCCCGGGGGGGCCCCCAGGGGCGCCTCCAAGCCTTCTCGGCGGGGTCCCACAGGGGCCGCTGCAGCGGGATCGTCTCCAGCAGCAGCAGCAGCAGCTGAGGCTGCGGGGTTCCCACAGGGGGCCCCCTTGGGGGGCCCCCAAGGGGGCCCCACAGGGGTGGGCCCCACAGGGGGGGCCCCCTCCGGGGCTTTGGAGAAGTCCCCGGGGCCTCCTCCCGGGCCGTCTACAGGGGCCCCATGGGCCCCTGTCGAGGGTGAGGGGCCCCCCGCTGGGGGCCCGTGCGGGGCCCCGGGGGCCCCCTTCCCGCAGGGGGCCCCCCGGGGCTCGGGGGCCCCTCGCTGCGGGGCGCCCGCGAAGTCCCGCCGCAGCGGGTCTTCTGGGGGCCCCTCTGGGGGCCCCCCAAAGAGTGCCGTGCGGAAGGCCTCCTTGGGTTCCTCCGTGGGTCCCGGTGCTGCCGCTGCCGCTGCTGCTGCTGCTGCTGCTGCATGCGTGGGGGCCCCCCCTGGCTCTTGGGGCCCCCCTCCCGGACCTATGGGCCCCCCCCCTCCCGCCTCAGCAGCCCCCCCGCCATCCCCTGGAAGCCCTCGCCCTTTGCCCCCGCCCCTGGGGGTCCCCCCGGGGCCCCCCGGGGGCCCCCCTCCCGGGGGCCCCCGGGGGCCCCCCTGGGGCCCCCCCCCCGGGGGGCCCCCGGGGGCCCCCGGGGGGCCCCCCGGAGCCTGCATGCAGGCGTGGGAAGTGGCTGAAGAGCTGGAACACCTGGCTGCTGTGCGGCGCGCGTTTGCTTTGTATGAAGCGGATTGTTTGTGTGATGTTGCAAGAATTGAAAAGTACCTTTTTGCACTAAGTGCTGAAGACCTGGAGCTGCTGGGGCCCCCCTCTCCCGGGGAAAGAGTAGCAGCAATTAAGAGGGCCGTTGCTGTCAACCAGCAGTTCATAGACTTTATGCTGCTGGCTGCTGCGTCCGTGGGGCCCTGCACGCCCAGGGAGCACTCCGACGCGGAGCAGCAGCAGCAGCAGCAGCAGCAGCAGCAGCAGCAGCGGGGGCCGGCGCAGGGGCTGGGGAGGCAGCAGCAGGGCGCCAGGCAGCACCCCAAACAGGGAAAGGCGCAGCAGCCCACCAAGAAAAGGAGGCGCAAGAAGCAGCAGCAGCAGAGGATGCTCGAGCAGCAGCAGCAGCAGCAGCAGCAAAGCGCCAGAGACGAACAGTGCGGCGGCTGCAGCAGCAGCAGCAGCAAAGTCGACTGCCGCCGCTTGCTGCTCGAGGCCGAACAGGAGGACCAAGAAAAACTCACACGAAATCTAAGCAAGGTCCGCTCCTGCTGCTGCTGCTGCTGCTGCTGCGACGCAACTGCTGCTGCTGCTGCGTAGCAGCTGCTGCTGCTGCTGCGTACAAACCGCCGTGGCGTTGCTGGCAGCAGCGATCCCTACCCGCACCCTCCTATGCAGATTTCGCTTGCTGCTACCGCTGCTGCTGCTGCCACCGCTGCTGCTGCTGCTGCTGCTGCTACCGCTGCTGCTGCTGCTGCTGCTGCTGCAGGTGCGCAGCACTTTGCGGCAGTTCGTGCGGGACTGGGCAGAAGAAGGCGCCGAAGAAAGAGAAGCAGCTTATGGGCCCCTTTTGAGGGCCCTCGAGGAACACCTGCCCATAACCCCGGGCAAAGACCCCCCGAGGTAGGGTTTAGGGTTTAGGGTTTAGGGTTTAGCGTTTAGGGTTTAGGGTTTGGGGTTTAGGGGCTTGGGTGTGGGGACGGAGGCCGTTGGGAGGCGCTGGAAAGAGCCTCTTGCCAATATGGCAAGCGAGACTGTGGGGCCAGGACTTGGGGTTTAGGGTTTAGGGTTTAGGGTTTAGGGTTTAGGGTTTCGCGCGCAGGGTCTTGTGTCCTGGCTCGGGTTTGGGCCGGCTGCCTTTCGAAGTTATGAGAAAGGGCTATGCTTGCCAAGGAAACGAGTTTTCCCACTTCATGCTCATAGGTTGGCCCCAAACCCTAAACCCTAAACCCTAAACCCTAAACCCTAAACCCTAAACCCCTGGCGGTGCGCTTGGCGCCACCAGTTTCCGCAAACCCTAAACCCTAAGTAGGCCTTCGAGTTGGCGCCAGCGGGCAGCGAACTTCTGCCCGTCGTCTGCTGCACCAAACCCTTATTGCTGCTGCTGCTGCTGCTGCTGCTGCTGCTGCTGCTGCTGCTGCTGCTGCTAGGGTCTGACTTTTTGTTGAACTCTCGCTTGACCCCGAAGTCTTTGCCGCTGCAGCCGTACTGTCTCTCGACATCCAACAGGTGCAGTTTTAAAAACTATTTTGTTTTATTCTATTTTAATTTTATTTTATTCTTTTTATTTAAAATTTAAAAACGAACGGACTAGTAAAGCAAACTTGGCGAGTTCGTTTTTGAGAATGAAATTAAATGAAAAAAAGGAATAAATGAACTATTATTTTATTTTAATTTTGTTTCATTTTATTTTTATTTTATTTTAATTTCAGGAGATCTCAAACTGACCACCTCGATGTTGTTTGGGTCCCCGATGTGGCCCCCAGCGAACATGTGGGGCCTTCTGCAGACTTCTCCATGTGCGCAGGAGAATTCGTCGAGGTGCGAGGGTTTAGGGTTTAGGGTTTAGGGTTTAGGGTTTGGGGTTAGGGTTTAGGGTTTATAGGCGGGGGTTTAGGGTTTGGGGTTTAGGGGTTAGGGTTTAGGGTTTAGCGGTTAAGGGTTAGGAGTTAGGGGTTAGGGTTTAGGGTTTAGGGTTCAGGGTTTGGAGGGCCCATGCCGACGGTGTGCATACATCTATGCATGTTAAGTCTGCTGCTTCTGCGGTGTACATACACCCGATTATATGTCGATTCTGCTGCTTCTGCGGTGTACATACACCTCGCTGACAGTTGATTTTGCTGCTTCTGCTGTGTACATACACCTCAGTGCATGTCAGTTGCATGGCTTGTGGGGTGTAGGTACACCCCAGTGCACGTTAGCTGCATGGCTCGTGGGGTGTACGTACACCTGAGAGCTAGGGAAAAGGCGCGTTTTTTGGAGTGTCTGTACACCGTGTGGCGGGGCAGGTGTACGGGAGCCCCTCGACTTCTTTGCCTTCTTCTTCGAGGGTTTTTGACGGAGTTTTGACTTCTTTCTTTTTGGACACTGCGCGCAATGTGCTGCTGTACATCAAAACCATTGCCCGCATTGTGAGGCCCCAGGGCCTCTGGGCCAACGTGGGGCCCCTCCTCTACCACTACGCAGAAATGCCCCACGAAATGAGCGTCGAGTTCTCCGCAGAAGAAGTCCTCGCAGGCAAACCCTAAACCCTAAACCCTAAACCCTAAACCCTGGATGCAGTCGCCCTAAACCCGCACACGTAAACACGCAAGCCCCTCCTCTACCACTACGCAGAAATGCCCCACGAAATGAGCGTCGAGTTCTCCGCAGAAGAAGTCCTCGCAGGCAAACCCTAAACCCTAAACCCTAAACCCCGAAGCATAATCTCCCTAAACCCTAAACCCGCAAACATAAACCTGGACTCCTAATCCCGAAACCCGGAACCTCTAAACCCTAAACCCTAAACCCAGAAACTGAAACGCTCAACTTGATATCCTAAAACCCAAACCCTCATCCCGAAACGGTAAACCCTAAACGTGGAATAGTAAACCATAATCGCTAAACCCTAAACCCAGAACCCGGAACTCACAATTCTCAAATCGGGAAGCCTAGACCCTAAACCCTCGACTCTAAACCCTAAACCCTAAAACTTTAACTCTAGTGGTTGCCTTTGGCCCGAAATGCGGAAACCTGGGGGTAGGGCTATCGGCACTTTGCGCTAGAATGGGGTCTTTAGTGTTTAAACCCTAAACCCGAGAAGAGGGAGTTTCGGAACTAAACCCTAAACCCTAGAAGAGGGAATTTCGGCAGCAAACCCTTGAGCGAATGCCGCGAGAACGCAGGACTCCAGGGTGAGGGTTTAGGGTTTAGGGTTTAGGGTTTAGGGTTTACGCGCAGTGGTGAAGAATTGGTTCAATTTGATTAAGGTTGAATGGCGGGACTGCTACTACACCTCGAATCGCAAGTCAATGATGCAGGTCAGCAAATAACGCAAACCCTAAACCCTAAACCCTCAACAGGGCGTGCAAGCACTTGCCCTGCGTGCGTGCACATTTCAAGCCCTAAACCCCAAACCCTAAACCCTAAGCCCCGAACCCTAAACCCTAAACCCTGAACATGGCCTACAGCCGCGAGTCCTGAGCGCCCACGCGCCCTAAACCTCAAACCCTAAACCCTAAACCCTAAACCCTAGGTTTGCGTCTGCAGGTGCAGTACCACTGCCTACATTTCGTGGGCATTAGGAACGAAAAGCCTGCCCCAGAGCTTGCACCGGGCAGCTCTGGCTAAACCCTAAACCCTTATCCCGAAACCCTAAACCCTAGATGGACAGCTTGAAAAGCTCGGCTGAAGCCTTCTGCTGCTCCCGCTGCATCACTTGAAGTGGCTGCGCGGGATACACGAGCAAATAGCAGCAGCAGCAACAGCAGCAGCAGCAGCAACAACAACATTTGCAACAACAAAAGCAAAAGCAGGAGCAACAACGGCAAGCAGCGGCAGCGGCAACAGCAACAGCAGCAACAGCAACAGCAGTTCCAATTTTGTAGTATAGACGCATCCCTGTGCAGTCTTGCACAGCAGCGGCAGATCTGCTGTTGCTGCTGCTGCAGCTTTTGCTGCTGCTGCTGCAGCTTGTTCTGCTGCTGCAGCGCTGTGACAGCTGCTGCTGCCTGGGAAAAACCCGAACTGGTGTTTTAGGGTTTATGTTTTAAGGGTGAAGTCGCCCTAAACCCTAAACCCTAAAAGACACTGTTAGCCGTACTCACTTTCGAGGGTTTAGGGTTTAGGGTTTAGGGATAGGTCCGCCGAAGTAGCGCGGCGGGGGCGGCTGTGGGCTAGCTGCAGCTAGCCATAGGCCTCCAGCTGAGGTGACTAGCAAGCTGTTCTGTAGAAGCAGCAGACTGCTGCAGGAGCTGCTGCAGCAGCAGCTGCAGCTGCTGCTGCGATGGCTAGCTGCTGCAGCAGCGGTTTGGTGCAGCAGCGGTTATCTGCAGCACCTGCAACTTGTCTGCAGCTAGCACACATGCCTTTGAAGGAATTAAACCGCAGCTAGCAGCAGCTGGTTAGAGTCAGCTGCTGTTGCTGCTGCTGCAGCAGCAGCAGCAGCAGATACTTGCTTCCTGCGTATGTGCGCAAGTTAGCAGTGCGTGCCTAGCGCTAGGGTTTAGGGTTTTCTGCCGAGGGTTTAGGCCTTGCTGCTCAGGGTTTAGGGTTTGGAGTTCTCTGCTGAGTCAACGGCAGTGAGAAAGGGGAATATTTGTGAGCCTCGAAAGACAGGCGGCTACGGGCAGCAGCAAACCCTAGACCCTAAACCCTAATCGCCAAACCCTAAACCCCGGCCCGCAGCTATATCAGGGAGTGCAGCTAAAGAAGACCCTGAGTGTCTTCCTTAGAGACAAAAGGCGCAGATGTAGCGGTTTTAGCTGCTAGAAACCGCAGCAGCAACAGCAGCAGCAGCAGCAGCAGCAGCAGCAGCAGCAGCAGGCTCCGCCCCACTGCTGTGCCGTGCTGCTCGCTGCAGCTGTTGCTCAAGAGATGTGTCTGTCTTCGTCTAAAATGGTATTCTTTGAGTTTAAATACACAAAATAAAGAAGGAAGAAATCAAACTTGCGAGTCAGCTGTCTGTACACCCCAGAAACACGCAGCGCGACTGCCCGCCCACGTCGCCCGGCAGGTGCGGGTGCTTTAGGGTTTAGGGTTTAGGGTTTAGGGTTTAGGGTTTGGGGTTTCGCTTGAGCTCCTCAAGGTGCCTTCGAGTTGGCCTGAATCCGTTGGCCGGGGCAGCGGCGCTTTAGAGGGAACGGGCGCGAGCAGCAGCAGCAGCAGCAGCAGCGGCAGCGGCGACAGCAGCAGCAGCAGCAGCAGCACGAGCAGCTGGGGTGTACGTACACTGATGTCGGCACCTACAAGGGAGGCAGTCACCTCTGGCGAGGCGAAGACCCCCAGACAGGCCGCAGCAGCAACCGCAGCAGCAGCAGCAGCAGCCACTGCTGCAGCAGCAGCAGCGAGATGCCCCCAAACCCAGGGGGCCCCCGGGGGGCCCCCCATGATCACTCCCACTTTTGTTGAGCTGCTGCGGCTGCTGCCGGGGCCCCTGAGGGGGCAGCGTGCGCTTGAGGTGTACGTACACTCCAAAATGACAGACCTGGGCTTCCTGCCCTGCGACGACGAGGACCCCCCCGCAGCAGCAGCAGCAGCAGCAGCAGCAGCAGCAGCAGCAAGGCCGGGCTCTCTCATCAGCTTGCCGGGCGGCCAAATAGCCCGCGTGATTTACAGCCCGGAGGGGGAGGGTGCTGAGGGCTGGAGCTGTACGTACACCCGGCCGGAGTGGCGCGTGTTTGCTGCTGCTGCAGCCCCCCAGCAGCAGCAGCAGCAGCAGCAGCAGCTGGTGGCCGGCCGCAGGCTAAGGCTCAGCCTCGGCAAAGTGG